AGAAGAGAGACGGCGCTATAGACCCGAGGATCCGCGGATGAATGTGAGTAGAACCGACGAAGAGTACCGCCGACGAGTGGAGGAGCAGCGTAGAAGACAGGAAGAGGAGAGACGGCGCTACAGACCCGAGGAGCACAGAGATCCGCGGTTAAATGTGAGAACGGATGAAGAGTACCGCCGACGAGAGGAGAAGCAGCGTAGAAAACAAGAGGAAGAGAGAAAACTACAGGATTACATCAGGAGGAACCAACCGGTGAATGTGCCATCGGGAGATAATCAATCGACCGCGGCCGGTCGTAACTGGTTCGAGGAGCGGAGACTGATTGAGGAAGCCAGGCGTCGCGACAGATATCCTGATCCAGGAGCGAAGAGAGACCACGGACCGTCGGCGCCTACGTATATCGATCCGCGAAGCTCACCGGAGGAAGTCAGACGAAGGCAGCAAGAGACGGCGAGAAGGTTGGAGGAGGAGAGGCGGCAGCGGCATGAGGCGGAAGAGCGACGGAAGGAGCTCGCCAGGCGACAGTGGGAGGCAGAAGAGAGACGGTTACGGGAGGAACGAATGCGGCGAGAAGAGGAGGCGAGAAAGGCGCAATCCAGGAGGTACGAGGAGGATAGGAAGCGGCTGGAGGTAGCAAAGATACAAGCCGAGAGAAGGAGGCAAGAGATGCTAAGGGAACGATCTAGGAACGAAGCTGGATGGACGAAACAGCCAGAAACTAGAGGGCCGGTCTACTATCAGGATCCTCGTCTTTTGGCGGAGCACAGAAGACGGCAGGATAGCCGGCCGATTCCGAGTAATTTGATGCGAGCCGAGGAGGAGGCTAGACGGGCAGCGGCAGAGCGCGAGAGGCAAAGATTGGAAGCCGAGAGACAACAGGAAGAAAGCAGGTATGTAAGTGGTCCTTGGGGCACGGCGCTTCGCAAAAATGAAGTTTTCATCTGGCGCGACGCCAACGAACTTTATTTGAGCCGCGCTTCGCAGCTATCAATGTTCGTTACTACTATCATTTGTCTCTGTTCGTTTATTTCTGTTTTTACTGGTATTCCCTTATCGCTGGGGATTAATATTACTTCCAACGTAGTATTATTGCGATGAAATTGGTAAGTACAAATCACTTATCCATTTCACAAATCTTTAAATTAAAAATTGCAACAAAATTTGAGAAAAAATTTTCGTTATGATTTTATGTTTCACGTAAACCTATAAAAAAACGTTTGAGAAATTAGAATGTATAATCAAAATGTATAAAATTATGAATATTATTCTATTGCGAATTACAGATTATTTAAAGTATATTTCAGTCTAATGCAAGAATATAAAACAGTATTAAAAA